CATTATTTTATAAATTTAAGAAAGCCATTTAAATTGCCTTACCCTGAGTCCTCATCTGTAAAACTACTAGAAAAAAATTTCTTCACCTTTTACCTTGTAGGCGATTGTAATACCCAACGAAATAAGAGCATTAGAATATTCAAAAAATAGTATAAACACATTTGTGTTTCTTTTAAGGTCTGATGCTTGCTACCTAATTTGTAATCTATCCTCATTGTCCTTCTCTAAATATTTTATAGATTTTTGTCTGTTTTTCTTTTGAGATGCAATGACCAAACAAACTTCAATGCCCAGAAGAGAGCCCGACATGCTGGGCACTCAATTAGCATTGTTTGACAAATGGACTAAATATCCCATATTATGAAACACCATTTAACTCAAGATTAATGTTTCTGTATGTTTATTTTCAATTCTCTTCTTTGTCAATGTAATCAAAGGTCATCTCAAAGAATAGTCTATAAAAAGTCTGTATCTTTTATAAGACGAACAGATAACTTGATTTATTTTTCTCTAAATATAGCTTTTTATTATTTTTTCCTAAGTGAATTACCTTTCATTGCCCAAACTGAATATCATCTACCACTTTTCTGCCCACTCATGCAGGCTGGCAAGTTCTCCCTGCAGTTTATCTCCATCTGCTTGGCATTTAACTACCTGGAAGAGCTTAGTGTCATCTGCAAACTTGGATAATTCGCCATGCATTCCCTTTTCCAAATCATTTATGAAAATGTTAAATAAGACAGGTTCCAAGGCCAATCTCTAAGAAACCAAACTGTTTTTACTTTTCCATTTTCTATACAGAAGAGCTCTTAATTATTTCCACATTATATTTTTATTTCCCCTTGTTAAAGTAAGCTTTGTATTATCACTATATCCTGATATGTGTATGCATTTATTCTGGGTACTAAGGCTCCTTGAAGTTTGGGGATATGAAATTACAGGCATACCTCAGAGATATAACAGGTTCAGTTCCAAACCACAGCAATAAAGCAAATATCCCAACAAAGTGAGTCACATGAGTTTTTTGGTTTCCCAGTGCATGTAAAAGTTATGCTTATACTACACTATAGTTTATTAAGTGTGCAATAGAATAATGTCTAAAAATGATGTACATACCTTAATTAAAAAGATTTTACTGTCAAAAAATGCTAACCATCACCTGAGCCTTCAGCAAGTCATAATCTTTTTGCTGATGGATAGTGTTGCCTATACGTTGATGGCTGCTGATTGATCAAAGTGGTGGTTGCTGAAGGTTGGAGTGGCTGTGGCAATTTCTTAAGGTAAAATGAAGTTTGCCACGTTGACTGACCCTTCCTTTTTGGAATGATTTCTCTGTAGCATGCAATACTGTTTCATAGCATTTAGAACCTTTTCAAAATTGGACTCAATCCTCTCAAACTCTGCTGCTGCTGTATCAACTAGGTTTACATAATATTTGAAATTTTTTTGTCATTTCAACAATCTTCACAACATCTTTGCCAAGAGTAGATTATATCTCAAGAAACCACCTTCTTTGCTCATCCATTAAAGTCATATCCTGAGACTGCAGCAATTAAATCAACACCTTCAGGCTCCCACTTCTAATTCTAGCTCTCTTGCTTTTTCCACATTTGCAGTTATGTCCTCGATGAAGTCTTGAACCCTTCAAGATTATCCATGAAGGTTGGAGTCAACTTCTTCAAAACTCTTGCTAATGCTGATATTTTGACCTCCTATGAATCACAAACATTCATAAAGGGAATCTAAAAGGGCGGATCCTTTCCAGAAGTTTTCAATTTACTTTGCAAAAATCCACAAGAATCAGTTCAGTAGCTATAGCCTTAGGAAATACAAGTCTTAAATAATAAGAAAGTCAAAATTACACCTTGATCCACAAGCCGCAGAATGGATGTTGTACTAGCAGACATGGAAACAAAATGTATCTTGTTCATCTCCACCAGAGCAGCTGGGTGACCAGGTGCATTGTTAATGAGCAGTAATATTTCAAAAGACATCTTTTTCTGAGAAGTAGGTCTCAAAAGTGGGCAAACCATTCAACAAACCATACTGTACACAAACAGTGCTGTCATCTTGGCTTCTTTGTTTCATTTATTGAACACTCAGAGTAGATTTAGCATAATTCTTAGGGGCTCTAGGATTTTTGGAATGGTAAATAAGCACTAGTTTCAACTGAAAGTCACCAGCTACATTAGTCCCTAACAACAGAGTTAGCCTGTCATTTGAAGCCAGGTACTGACTTCTCTTCTTGAGCTATGAAAGTTTAAGATGGCATCTTCTTCCAATATAAAGCTGTTCTATCTACAATGAAAATCTGTTTAGTGTTGGCACATTATTATCTTAGCTAGATCTTCTAGCTAACTTACTACCACTTCTACATCAGCTCTCGCTGCTTTACCTTGACTTTTATGCTGTGGAGATGGCCACTATCCTTCAACCTCATGAACCAAGCTCTGCTAGACTCAAACTTTTTTCTTTGAGCTTTTTCACCTCTCGGCCAGCATAGAATTGAAGAGATTTAGGACTTTGATCTGGATTAGGTTTTTGCTTAAAGAACTGTTGTGGCTGGGTTGATCTTCCATCCAGACCACTAAAATTTTCTCTATCAGCAATAAGACTATTTTGCTTTCTTACCATTCTTGTGTTCGCTGGACTAACACTTGCAATTTCCTTCAAGAACTTTTCCTTTGCATCCAGAACTTGACCAACTGTTTGATAGAAGAAGCCCTGCTTTTGGCCTATCTTCTGACATGCCTTTCTCACTAAGCTTAATCATTTCTATGTTTTGATTTAAAGTGAGAAATGTGCAATCTTTCCTTTCACTTGAACACTTAAGAGGTCACTACAAGGTTATTAATTGTGGCCTAATTTCAATATTCTTGTGTCTTAGAGAATAGGGAGCCCTGAGGAAAGGAACAGAAATGGAAGAATAGCTGGGTGTTGAAGCAGTCAAAACACACACATTTATCAATTCAGTTTGTCGTCTTAGATGGGTATGGTTTGTGGTACCAAAAAACAATTACATTAAAATCAAAGAGCACTGATCACAGATCACCATAACAAATACAGTAATAATGAAACAGGTTTGAAATATTCTGAGAATTACCAAAATGTGACAGAGACATGAAGGGAGCAAATGCTGCTGAGAAAAGTAAGTTGATAAACTTGCTGGCAGTATTGTCATAAACCTTTAATTTGTAAAAACATAATTAACTGCAAAAGGCAATAATACAAAGCACACTAAAACAAGGTATGCTTGTATCCAAAATCTGTTCCTTCCATAAAACTCTTAGGGGACAACAAATCTGAGTAGCAACAAGGAAGCTGAACAGATAAGACTCTGTACCCTCTGGACTCAATTTTCAATCTCTATTTTTGTCTATTTTCTTATGTCATGACATCAATTTGTGGGTAAAAAAAATGTGTAAAGAAATTAAAGCTTTAAAACCACTAGCCCAAAGAAGCAGCTCTGGAATGAGGATCCCAAGATTTGTGCTTTGCTGAATACTCTTCTGTGTACTACCAGTGTATTCTTAGATGAGTCACCTAACCTTGCTTATATTCTGCTTCCTAAACTGTAGAGCAAGGAAAATAACTTCTGCCTTGTCTTTCTCACAGAAGTTGTGAGGATGAAGCAAGACAATGTACTTTGGGGTGAACTGCAGCATCAAAAGGAGTTAGGTTTTACAGATGAATGTAGTAGAAGGTGCAAGGGTACCAGCACTACAGAGGGAGCACAGTTCAGACATTCAAAGGGGCTGAGCTGGAAAGGGGAACTAATAATGTCAGGAGGCAACTGATACAATGAGAATAAGAGCTCAGTGAGGACTTTAATTTATAATGAGACCAAATTTGAGAGATAATGGCCATTTTTATAATATTAATTGTTCCAATCTAAGAGCATAGGATATCTTTCCATTTCTTTGTATCACCTTCAATTTCCTTCATCAGTTTTATAGTTTTAAGACCATAGGTCTTTCACCTTCTTGGTTAAGTTTATTCTTAGGTATTTTATTCTTTTTGATGTGATATGAAACAGGAGGGTTTTTTTAAAATTTTTTTGATAGTTCATTATTAGGATACAGAAAAGCAACAAAATTCAGTAAATTAATCTTATATTCTGAAACAGCTAAATTTTAAGAATTCTAATTGATTTTGGTGGAGACCGTAGGGTTTTCTATACAAAGCATCATGTCATTTGCAAATACTGAGTTTTACTTCCTCCCCTCCAATTTGGATGCTTTTTTTTTTCTTATCTGATGGCAGTGGCTAGGACTTTCAATACTATGTTAAATAGAAGTGGCAAGAGTGGTCATCCTTGTCTTTCTCCTGAATTTAAACAAAAGGCTTTCAGCTTTTCATTGTTGAGTATCATATTAGTGTGGTGGGTCTGTCATAAATGGCCTTTACTATGTTCAGGTATGTTCCCTCCATAACTACTTTGATAAGAATTTTTATCATGTATGGTTGTGGAATTTTGTTCAATACTTTTCTTGAGTCTGCTGAGATGATCATATGATTTTTAGCCTTCCTCTTGTCAATGTGGTGTATCACATGGTTTGATTTGTGAATACTGAACCATCCTTATGTGTTTTAATATAAGAGACAATGAAAGCAAGAATGCAAAAAAGATGAAAAGAGACTGTAGTCAGAGTGAAATTTTGAAGATTAATGTTTCTGAGTAATGGGGCTAAGAGTTGGTTGCTGCAGTGAAGTTGAAGTGAAGAATAGAGGATTGAGAAAAGTCTAGGTCTTTTAAAATAGCATACTGTAAAGACTGCACCCTCAATGTAATAGAGAAGGAAGTAGTGAGTTTGATCCCAAGGCCGCAAAAACTAGGGAAGAGCCACCAGGAGATCCATGGTGGGCAGTGCTAAGGACGGTAGAAAACAACATCATTAGTTGGTGAGAATCTCAAAGGAAGATCTCAAACAGGAGGATGAGACAATAGCCCAAGCCAGAAGATCATCACCCCATCCATGGTTCATGGGCTCCTAGGTAAGGGGGTTCAGGGTACATTTTGTACTCAAAGGAGTGCCTAGATTCAAGCATGGAGGTCCAAGTGTACAAATAATTTTGTTAAAAGGTTGACAATATAAAAAATTTAGCATGTAAGAGGACAAGGTTTCCAGAGTGTCTACGTAGAAAAGATGGAAGAAGAAGTGAGGCAGTGCAGAGAGCTATATAAAAACAAAAGTAAAGGGGAGGAGAGGTGAGATGGAAAGGGATTCTGTGACCAAGTTTAAGGGTTAAAAGCACACTTTGGTCTGGCCAAAAAACATCCTCACTTTTGGTACAGGGGTTTTGATAGTGTCACAGGGAGTATAAGGGCCCTAGATTTCATCTTCCTTTGTCTCAGAGAGTAGAGATAGTTTTTTCAAAGTTTACGAA